AAATATATATAAGCTAAAACCAAGCATTCAGTTTTTATCTAGCAAACACTCTTTTGCTGTATAAAAATATTAAAAAATTCACTCGCTTTTTAAAAGGAATTTATTGGGTTTATAAGCCATTTATTTAAGCCATATCCACCACGCAATTTACGAAGGACAGGATACAAGATGTTGAAACAATTTGTTTTTTTATTAGGAATACTCACTTTGGGGCTTGCAATTGAGCCTGTTGAAGTCAAGGGTAACGCATTTTTCGTGAAGGGATCAAATGAGAGATTTTACATTAGGGGGCTTGATTACCAACCGGGGGGATCGTCGAATCTTTTTGATCCCTTAGCGGACAAGGACACATGTGAGAGAGATATCAAGTACTTCAAGGACTTGGGTATTAACACTCTTAGAGTCTACTCTATCGACAATACCGCAGACCACGATGACTGTATGTCATTGTTAGCGGATGCTGGGATCTACGTGATTATTGATGTTAACATTCCCGATGCTTCTATAGCCAGAAACGATGCCAAGTGTTCTTACAATACCATGTATTTGAACGAAGTCTTAGCCAGTGTTAACCACTTGGCTCAATATGATAATGTTTTGGGATTCTTTGCTGGTAACGAAGTAATTAATGATGAAGAATCTACAAGTGCAGCTACATATGTGAAGGCCGTTGTCAGAGACATTAAGACTTTCATCAAGAACAAGAAGTTGCGTTCTATACCTGTAGGTTACTCAGCTGCCGACATTGAAGAAAATAGATTGGAAACTGCTCAATTCTTCAACTGTGGTGATGACGAAATGGCTAGGGTTGACATGTTTGGTTTTAACGATTACTCGTGGTGTGGTCGTTCGTCGTACACCACAAGTGGATACGATAAGAAGGTAGAGGAATATTCTAATTACTCAATTCCTTTATTCTTATCTGAATACGGTTGTAATAAGGCCACTCCAAGACCATTCACTGAAGTTGAAGCACTCTACTCCGAAAAGATGACAAAGGTATTCTCTGGTGGTCTAGTTTACGAATACTCTGAAGAAGACAACAACTACGGATTAGTTAAACTTTCCAGCGATAACAAAACTGTTACCACAAATGATGATTTTGATAACTTGAAGTCTGAGTTCTCTAAAACTAGCAATCCAAAGGGTGATGGTGACTACCAATCCGACTTAGACTATTCAAAGTGTCCATCCGTGAACAGTAACTGGAATGCTACCAGTAAGCTTCCAAGTACTCCAAAGGGTGCGTTAAAGTATGTCAATGCAGTTGTTGATCCTGAAGGAAATGGTTTTGATGCTTCTACCCAATGGGCTTGTGTTGATGGAAACAACGATGTTGATGATTCTAGCGATTATAAGAACGGTAAAAAGACTGGATCATCCTCTTCTACAAAAACCTCATCAAGTTCGTCATCCTCGAGTTCTGGCTCTGGTTCTGGTTCTGGCTCTGGGTCGTCCAGCTCTTCTTCAAGGCAGTCAGGTGCAAATACTTTGAACTACACATATTTGAACTTGATAGTCGCATTGGCCGGATTCCTTATCTGATGCAATGAATTTTGAATTAATTCACCACTTCTTAGTAGTCCATAAGATAAATACTATTTTTATAAGATATCTAAATGCCTGTTTATGTAAAACAAATTAAATTTCTACGTTCTGTTTAGCAAATATTTTATAACACCTTTACTGTGCTAATATAATTACATTGGATTATTACATTCATTATTTATTTGCTATCTTATAAAAGGTGACTAATCTATGCACGTTGTTTGATACCGTACATCATCTCTTCTTTATTAATCAAATGACCAATACTATCGACCTCTTCTAATAATTTATCAACGTCGTAACACCAGTCATTCAATAAGTCATTAATATTTTCACTATTATTATTTTGCTTCTCAAATTTAATAATACCTTGTGGTCTATTGATTTTGGCAAAAATCATTCCTTTATTAACAAGTTCAGAAACGTATGTTTCCAGTTGTTGGTTAGTTAACTGCAACAAATATGATAATCTATCCAATTTGATGTACTGATAGTATTTGTTTATGACTCTTAAGTTATGTTCAACACATCTTTTTTGTAAATTTTCATAATTCGACTCATTTCCTTGAAAAATTGACGACTTATTGAAATAATCATTTCTATATAATGATTCAATATTAGACCAGTGAATTAATTCGTTGGTAGTGAAAATTTCTAATAATTTGAAAATTTTAGCATCCACATTTTTGCTAAAAATTGGGTTTGTTTTGATTTTGTTAATTAAATCCAGCTGGAAATTATCGTATGGAGATAATATAATGTAATAGATGATCGAAACCAAATATTCTTGGAATTCTGCTTTGTTTTCTTTAACAAGCGGGATTTCAATCAACAACAATAAATTTTTCACGATTGAGATATAATCCTTTTCAAAAACACTAATCTCAATAAGGTATTTTAAATATGTTGTCTTGTATGCTTCTGCTTTTTCGAAATTCTTTAAAGTTTTAAGCAAAATCTTACGACTCAAAATCTTTGCTTGATTATAATCCTTCTTCTGTAAGTTTAACTTTACTTGATCTAAAATATATTCAATTTTTGTATCAAATGCCATTAATGAATATGTTTCAACTTGTAAATCACATAAGATTTCAATGGCCTTATCCAAATCTTGAAACTTCTCTAAGTAAATCTCCGACAACATTTTAGAAACAACTGCTCTTTCAACTTCAACAAAGATCTTCTTGTCAGTAACTGTTCTTATTGTTTCAATAATTTTCATTTTCATTTCTAGTTGCTTCTTGTTGCTTTCATCTAATGTGTTCAATTTGTCAATAACACTTTGGATTAATGTCTGAATGGAGGATTTCAATTGTCCATGTTTTTTGGACAATAAAGTTATCAACTCATTTAAGTACTCCCAATCATTGTTATCAGTCAATGTTTCAACAATCTTGGTCAATACTCTTTTAGATGATGATAGATCTGATGATTGCCTGGTCTGCTTTTCTAAAACTAAATATTTATCTACAGCAGCCTTGTAATCGGTTAATTTTTCGATAATTGGAAATTGCTCATCTAAGGTAGCTGAAAAATCCTTTTCAGCCTTCAATGGATCCTCTCTAGACATTCTTGTTTGGCTTTTTTAGTTAAGATACGATGTTCTTCCTTGAACTTGATATCGAAATTTACGCTTTGGTGGCAAGAGTATAATAAAAGTAGTGCCTTTACCAACAAATAAGTTCAAACTAAGGTAAATGGTTTCATACATATCAGATAACATAATATGGCCAACGAACAAGCGGAATAGATTGAAGTTCGTTAAAAGAAGAAGTTCTCTAAGGAAAGGATTCTACGAATTTTAATGATGGACATCCCAAGTATTTAAAATTTTTGACTATAAATATGCTTCAATAGGGAAGTATTGACATACAGATTTTGAAGTTATTCAATGCTTTATCACGCTGTAGAAACATTATGCCTACAAATACACATTTAGTAGCATACTTTAGTATTTAGGTTAAAGGCCATTTTTAATTATCATTGGTGTATGAGAATCAGTAGCTGCAAAATTTTAATATCTAGTTTTAGGGTAAAATTTGCGGTATATAAGATTGATCAATATGGCATCTTCATTAACTAGAATCTATTTTAAGAGTTCTAAGTATTTTTAGGAAAGTTGCCTGCTCTAGAATGTACATTTCCTAAATTGACTGATAAATAATTACTCACATCGAATATAGCTCGTTCTAATTTCCCGCTCGGTACATGACTCACATATTGATAATTAAGATAAATACCATAGATTCAGCTTGGCTTTTGAATTTTAGCTTCGTTATACATCAAGAATGCCCGAGCCCAAAGTTCCATTTGGAAAGAAATTTAGGCAAAAGTACTTCACAAAACTAGACCTGAATGTTGTTAATGTTAATCATGGATCTTTCGGTTTAACGCCAGATCCAATTTTAGATTCTTATATAAAAAATATTGAAAAGCAATGCTTGTTTCCTGAAAAAGTTATTAGATATGACAATAGAGGTGATTACATTGAGGCCTTAAAATTAGTGGCAGATAAAGATTTATTAAATTGTGATTATCATAATTTGGCTTTGTTAGAAAATGCAACTTTAGCAGTGAACACAGTTTTGAGATCTTACCCTTTTGCTAAAGGCGACAAATTTGTAATCTCTTCAACAACCTACAGGGCATGTGCCAATACAGTTAAATTTTTAGAAAATAGAATTGGAATTGAAGCTATTGTCATTGAACTTAACTTCCCATTGACCAACAAAGAAATTTTGGAAAAGTTCAAAAGAGAATTCGAAAAGAGTTCACCAAAATTATGTTTATTTGATACAGTTTCATCTCTTCCTTCTGTTAGATTTCCGTTTGAGCTGATTACTAAATTGTGTAAAGAATATGGAGTATTATCTCTAATTGATGGTGCCCACGGCATAGGCCTTATCAAATTATCTTTAGAAGATTTGAAACCAGACTTTTTTGTCACGAACTTACACAAGTGGCTTTTTGTTGAAAGAGGTTGTGCAGTACTTTATGTTGATCCAAAACACCAGAGAAAGGTTCATTCGATACCCATTTCATTTGCCTACTTGGACGACGATACCCCTTTAGAAACTGAAGAATTAAATAAGATGCGATTTATTGACACATTTGAATACACTGGTACTACAAACAAAGCAAACATCCCTACAATTAGAGAGGCAATTCAGTTTAGGAAGGATATATGTGGAGGTGAATCTGTAATTCAGAAATACTGTGAAGATTTGAGCCATCAAGTAGTTTAACTTTTTACTGAGAAGATTTGGCCTGGTACTACTTACTTGGATAATGAAGATGATTCAGCAATTACATCAATGGTATGTATAGAGGTACCTATAGAAAAATATGCTACAGAGGACTTCGACAGAGCTGATTTGAAAGAATGCTTGCTTTATCTCGAGGAACGTATTTGTAACAAGCACAATACGTTTGTTCCTTTTTGCCTTAACAATGAAAAAGTATACGCTAGATTTTCATGTCAACTATATAATGATATAGATGATTATGTCTATGCTGGAGAGACGATCGTTAAGGAACTTCAGGAATTTTTTGATAATGAAGTATACAACAATTTAAAGAATTCACCCAAGAGTGGAGCAATCTTTTTGGCAGTGGACAAATTATCAATTAAATAGTTCTTTTTCTCTAGATTAATTATTATATCGTAGATTTCTATAAATTATACGTACTATTCCATTTTTATAAAATTAAACTCTACAGTTACCGATGTCAAACACTAAAATGTCTGATGCGCCAGCCTTTTTCAAATCATCCATGATATCACTTATCTTTTTCTTTTCGACCATAGAAGAAACAGCCACCCATTCTTCATTTTCGTCACTCTTCTTTTCTAAAGCTGAAATAGTTGCAGATCTTCTACCTGGAGTGATTTGTAAAACAGTACTCAAAATAGATCTTGGAGCGTTGTAGTTACATAAAACGTATTTTTGTGCAGCCATAAGACCTTCAAATCTTTGGTGAATTCTTTCAACCAATTCAGGGAATTTTGGTTTCTTGGAAGAAATTAAGTGAGCGGAAGTTTGCAAAATAGTTTCAATTGCAGTCAAACCAGCTGCCTTCATAGTTTCACCACTTTCAACTAAATCAACAATGGCGTCTGCAACTCCCAATGCACAAGATGCTTCAACCGAACCACCGACATATCTGATATTTGTGGTTAATTTAGTTTCATCTTCAATCTTTTCCAATTGTTTGAAATAATCGGTACTCAATTTGGTGAATGAACTGACAATCTTCTTACCAACCAATTGTTCAGCCTTAGTGATTTCTCCCTCAGCTGGGACTTGGATTTGTAACTTACAAGATCCAAATTGTAAATCTAATAAATCTTCAATAGAATCGAACATATCTGCTTCTTTGATTTGGTCTAATCCAGTAATACCTAAGTCACAATTACCTTCACCGACAAAAATTGGAATATCTGCTGCTGGCAAGAAAATCAATGCAATAGGTAAGTTAGTTGAAAGAGCAATATCCAATCTATTAGATCTTCTGAACTGAATATCAACTCCTTTCAATAAGTTACAGCATTTTTCATACAAACGTCCCTCTGAATTTGGTTAGTACTAATTGCGTGTCAATCATACCAATTAAGGTTAATTTTATATTTTGAAAAAAAACTTACTTTTAGGAACTGCAAATAACAAACGGTCTGGTAGGTGATTCACTAAATCCATAATGATATATATATATTAATTTACTCTTGGTTTAATGATTTGAACTAGATATTTAGCTGAAAATTCTTTATCAAGAATGGCTACTCGACGTGCATCAGTTAATGAGTCAATATGGACCCCACGTGATTTAATACAACTATCAGATAGCAAGATAGCACCTGGAAAGTTGACATTATAAAGATGATGTAGCTAGGTAATAGGCATAATTATATTCATATAACCTAAATTTCAAATGCATTATTTATTATAAAATATATGTAAGTTAGAATTAATTGGACTTTTTCAAGTCCGGTTCGCTTTCTGATGTGGCAGTATCAGACTCATTGACAAAATCGATATTTTTAATATCACTCTGATATTCGTCACTATTATCGTCATCATCATCTTCGTATTCTGAGGCGTATCTCTCAAAGCCACTTGCACCTTTTGAATTTGTGATTGGTACAAGGGTGCCTTTCTCAATGTTTGGTTGGAGTCGATAGGAATTTTTACGCACATTTTTATTTGCCGTAGAATAACCACTTCCATTACCGTACCAATATGTGTTAAAACTCCAATTGATCAAAACCTTACACATGTCCCATGGTCCAAATTCGGGCCAAAGTTTGTCGACAAAGACAATTGAACACGAAGAGGATACGCATTGCCATAATAAGAAGTCCGATAGTCTGAACGTACCCGAGGTACGAAGTAAGATATCCAACGGAGGGGAATTTGAAGTATATAAGAATCTGTCAATAGTGTTCTCGTCGACTACAAAGTCATTGTTTTGTACAGATTCATTAACAACGTTTTTGATTGTATTAGTGATTTCGTCTCTCGACGTGTATGGAAAGCAGATGTTCAACACTGCTCTTGTGTTATCTTTAGTTATTTCTTCGGTATCTTTCAAAATAGCATATACGTCCGGCGGTAATAGTTCAGTGCTCCCCAAGATCTTTATCTTAATTCCGTACTGTTCACATAACTCGCCATTTTGGCTTATTTGTCTGAACTTCAGCTTAGCGAGGTCCATCAACCAATTTACTTCGTAGCTCAGTCGTTTGAAGTTTTCAATCGAAAACGCATATACCGTGGCACATTCAACTCCTGATTCGTATAATAACTCCAAGATATTAGCCATACTCTCAAACCCCAAATTGTGCCCTTCTTTAAGCTCAATCTTGTGCGTTTTTGCGTACCTTCTATTCCCATCCATAATCATTCCTACATGCCTTGGGGTAGGTCCCGTTTGAATTACTCTGCCGAATACCTTTTTAGCTGTGGTTAATAATTGTGTATATCCCGGAAACGTAGATGCCCAGTCTAACATATTAGAATCCTATTGTATGTGTATTTTTGAAAATAGTTTGCTCGTAATAAATGGGTATATTTTATTGCATCCACGAACAGCCTTTTTTATGATTAAGTCCGATGATAAAATAGTAAGTGTATTGAACACGCAGTGTTAACACCGAATGAATAAAAGCCTGTTTAGATTATATAGGTCTCAATCGATTGAAACCTTTAATCTAAGACCCCGGTATGCCTGTTCTCATGAACATGAAAAAGGTGTTGTGGCAGAAGTTTCTGATATGGAGTGTATATAGTATTAAGTCCTGAAATTTTTCAGAACTCATCGGTAAGCAGTAACGGATTATTAATACTTTTCTTTTGCCATTACCTCCATTAATTATAAGAATTTGGCTAAGATAATAGGGTAATTTCACTTCTTGTATACATTAGTTTTAGAGATTTCCATTTAGAAAAATTAAGAATAATGACGGACGATTACTCAGAACAAACAAGCCAAAATCAGGTTGAAGAAGAAGAATATTTAAACATCAACGAGGTCGAGGAAGAAGTTCCAGAAGATGATGTAAACGCACCAGCACCAGAAGATGATGATGACGCCGATATGGACGTTGACGGTGAAGAAGACGGTGAGACTTTAGAGATAGATATGTCAAACAATTCATGGGCATATTTTGACCAACATAAGGACTCGATTTTCACTATTTTCAAGCACCCTACCTTACCAATGGTTGTAACAGGGGGCGGAGACAATACAGCATTTATGTGGACCACACACACACAACCGCCACGTTTCGTCGGTGAATTGCAAGGCCACAAGGAATCAGTCATCACTGGTGGTTTTACCCATGACGGGAAATACGTCGTTACTGGGGATATGAATGGTTATATCCAAGTGCATAAGTCAACAAAGAATGGTCAAAAATGGACCAAGTTTGCTGATTTGGAAGAAGTTGAGGAAGTCTTGTGGATTACCGTACACCCAAGTTTGCCTTATTTTGCATTCGGAGCTAACGATGGATCTGTGTGGTGTTACCAAATCGATGAATCCAGTAATTCACTTGTGCAATTAATGTCAGGTTTCTCACACTCATTAGAATGTAACACTGGTATATTTGTAAACACCGACAAAGGTGAAGACGAATTAAGCTTAGTCTCCGTTTCTGAAGATGGTACCGTTGTAAACTGGAATTGTTTTACTGGTGCCGTCAACTACAGATTGCAACCATATGACGACTTCAAAGGGGTAGAAAGTCCTTGGGTCTCTCTTAAGGCTTACAAGAATGTTATTGCCATTGGTGGACGTGATGGTCAATTGGCTATAATAAATAATGACGCAGGTAAAATTGTTCATACCATTAAGACGCTTGAAAGCGCTGAAGACGAAGCAGAATTGTCTATCGAAGCATTATCCTGGTGTACTGCACCACTGATTAACTTGTTGGCCGTAGGTTTGGTCTCCGGTGATTTATTGTTGTTTGATACCTTGCAATGGAGATTACGTAAATCCGTCAAAATAGACGACACTATAACTAAATTAGAATTCGTTGAGGGAACTCCATACTTGATTGGTTCTTCAATGAACGGTAAGATTTATAAATGGGATGCTAGAACGGCCGAAGAAGTGTTCGTTGGTGTCGGTCATAACATGGGTGTTTTAGATTTTACTGTGTTGGAAAATGGAAACAAATTAATAACTGCTGGTGATGAAGGTGCTGCCTTGATCTTTGTAACCCAACAGTAAAATATCTAGGTACCTTATCACTTTATATAATATATTTGTATAGTAATATTGAATAAACTGAATAAATCATAAACACGTGACAGATCCACCTTACGCGTTGTTTTACGCGATGTTGTTTAAATCATGTATTAGACGTAAATACTAGAGTCAGTTACGGTTTAAGAAAACGATAGGATGCCAGTGGAAGACGTAATGTCGGTCGATTCAGACCCTGTTTTGAGGACCTTTTCAAATGAGGAAGAGCCCGCTACAAATGAAGTTGCAGAAGTTACACACAGTGGGTCCAAAAAACCATCTTCATCAGACATGGCATTTTACTACGAAAGATTATTACCCTTTAGATATGTCTTCCAATGGTTAAATCATTCACCCAAACCAACTAAAGATTTTACTATGAGAGAATTTGCATATGAATTCAGATCTGGAGCATATCAAAGGTACAATTCTTACTTAACACTTGATGAATTTAAAAAATCTGTTGTAAAGGCCAACCCAACTCGTTTCGAAGTTGGAGCGGTATACTCCGTGAATCCAAGAGAACGTAAGAACCTACCAAAGCTGGCGTTAAAGCCTTTAAGTAAAGAGTTGGTATTTGATATCGATTTAACGGATTATGATGATATCAGAACGTGTTGTTCGGGGACTGATATTTGCAAGAAGTGTTGGAAATTCATACAAGTAGCATCAAAAATCATTGACCAAGCATTGAGGGAAGATTTTGGCTTCACGCACCTAATTTGGGTTTTCTCTGGTAGAAGGGGTGCCCATTGTTGGGTCAGTGATCCTAAGGCACGTACGTTGGATGAAATTACTCGTAAGTCAATTGTTGAATATTTGGATGTCTTAGGCAGTAAACAATCTAAATCCGGAAAGAAGCTGTTAAATTTGAAGAGACCTTTCCATCCTCACGTTGAGAGATCATTTAATATTTTAAAACAAGAGTTCGTTAATATAATACTAGAAGAGCAGGATCCATGGTTCACGAATGCGGACTCGCTGAATGATTCCAAAGCATGGGAAAAAGTCGAAGAATTACTAGCATTTATGCCTGATAATTCTTTACAAGAAGAATTACGCCAAAAATGGAAAGAACAACGAACTGTTTCTACTTCAAAGTCTAAGTGGGAAGATATTAATGTCATCGCTAAAAAGACTTTAAAACATCAAAATCAAGTAAATCAATTAAATGAATCCAAAAAGGATATCATAGTATATTACATGTACCCAAGATTAGATATTGAGGTGTCCAAGCAATTAATTCATTTGTTAAAATCGCCTTTCTGTATCCACCCTGGAACTGGAAATGTTTGTGTTCCATTCAATCCTTTACAAAACTTATCTGATAATAAAGATGATGATTCTTATGGGTTTAATCCAATGAATGCACCAAATTTGAGCTTGTTGCAAACAGAATTAGAGATATGGGAGACTAAAAGAATTCAAGGCGATTCAAGCCAGCAAGCTGATTCGGAAACGGAATCTGATGATAGGAGGATCCTGGATTTTGAGAAAACAAGTTTGAAACCTTATGTAGACTACTTTGCAAAATTTGTTAATGGCTTATTAAAAGACGAATTAAAAAATGCTAATAATAAGAGAGAAAGAGAGACAGATCCATTGGAATTTTAAGGTTAGAGATTAATAGATTACTTAAGTATGGCAAAATACAATATTTTAAATAACGGATCTGATTGATCATTATACTGACCGAAACTATGATAAAAATGAAGCATGCAAGTTTGTTACAATATATGATGTATACACTCTAATGAATATATAAATTAATTGTTGAATTTTTCATCTAATAAGTTGAATTAGAAGATCATATACAACTTTTAAGAAACTGGACAACCTGTTTCATTTGAATCTACGCTTGGTGGAGGGGCTTCCAACCTACCACTACGATTTTCAATGATTATAGTTTCTTCTGTGCTGCTTGATCCTTTTGTAGTGCTTTCTGAATTCAAATCTTCATGGAACCACTCTAAATATTGTAAATGTGGATTGTATTTCACATACCCTGAACTTATTTCTATATCTCCATAATTTAGATAAGGATAATGCCATGTGGGGATAAAAATAACAGTAGGTGTATCTTTTTTCTGTTTGTTTTGTTTGCTAACTTGAACCGTTAAAATGTACTTGCCGGCTTTCATATGAAATTCGTTATTCATAATAATACCTGCTGAAGCAATAGCATATGGTCTAACAACTGCACTGACAGCTCTAACACCATCTGGTGAGGAGTAGCAGTTACTGTAATGCCTGTATTTAACATTCTCACAACTAGAACTGATTAGAATTGATGATTGTGTAGATTGAACATCTGATGCATCTACTTCTTTCGGTTTATCAAACGAGAAATTACTATTGAACTTTGGGGCATCATCTCCATTACGGGTACCAGATTTTGAGTAGAAACCTTCGTCTTCCCTAGTATTGTTATTTTCATATTCATTTTCATTATTCTTATTCTTATAGTTGTTGTTATTTTGCTCATTAATGTCAAGTTTGGTAAAGCTGTTACTAATATTATCACATAGCTTCAAACTCTGACGACGAAGTTTTGATTTCATCATTGTTTCACTGAGTTTTCGGGAAGATAGCTTCAAAGAAGACATTTGATTACCTGTAATCAGCGATTGTCTAGTGGAATTAGGAGTGTTTGAGGCTGATTTAGGAGTAGAATCATCATTGATATTAGCATTGTTTGAGAAATCGATTCTATCTTCTAGTGACCAGAATGAAAAATCTTCATTATTCCAACGGTCTCCCCATTTATGGCAATTAATGCTTGTATAACACCAATAAGTATGTGACATATTCAGACCTTCTAGCGCGTTGGAAATTGCATCTAATGCCGAAGTCTGCGAACGATATTTTCCACCACTATACGCTTGTTTCTCATCCATGTCGAAGGGCATACCTGTTTCAGACATTAATATTGGTATATATCCTAAATTATGTTCACATTCTTTTTTCATTTCCGCAAATTGTTTCTTGATACAACTCCTAATTGACCTTTCTCCAATAACAATTCCCATAACCGGGTTGTAATACCGCCCACGCATAATCCCTAACGTATCAACGTTGTATTTAGAATTCCAGGTCTTAAATAAAAGGGACATACCATCATAGTAATGAGGAGCGTAAACTGTCTTCGAATCAATAATATGACGGTGGTCGCCCTTTAACTTTGGAGGAATTTCTAAAACAGGCGGCTCAATTAGCAAAAAAGCATCTGGTGTAACAGAACGAATAGTTTTCTTAAAAGACACATAAAAGTCAACAAAATTGTTGTTGCAAAAGTATTCTAAGTTTATCTCTCTAATACTTTTGCTAAAATTGTGATTCTTATTTGGCTTGCTGAAATAATCGGGAATTTTCACTTTACATTTATTCTCACTAATATTTAATCTCTCATATTCTGAGTAAGATTTTAGTTTGGTGAAATCAATATCTTCATCCCATTGCCATATGCCATGTTGTGCAAATAGACACTCGCCAATTTTCCAACTAGGGTCCCTTCTCCAATGGTATATATCGTCGTAAAATTTTGATTCTTCGGGCGTTAACCAAGCACGCTCTCCCTTTGGGTCTACTATTTTAGAATGATTCTTTTGAGGACCCGTAATAGCAATTTTATACACATCCACCTTACAAGCAAGACCCATACCTAATTTCATGGCTTGGAAAACAGTTGGAGTGGTCCCGACACGAAGTTGTTGATTACAAGGAAATTCCTCAATATTGTTATAGCCCAATAAACCACAGCTAGGCTCATTCATCAGTTCAAATCCAACTAAGCTACCATTCTCTAGCATTTCTGGTAATGCCAGAGTAACAGCCTTCCAAAAGTATTTAATAGAATTAAAATAATGTCTTTGTAGATAAGACTGGATATTTTCTCCATTTATCTTACAACCCGGGAAAAAGTTCTCCCCAGAAAAGAATACAGTAAACATCACTAATGCGGCTAATCTTTTATAATTTGTTGTCCAAACCATTCGGTCATAAGTATCTGGGTTTTTTTTCCTGTGAAATCTCTCTTCGTTATGAAGGATTGCTGCCTCTGAAATTGCAAATCTCCTAGGCTGAAGACCTGCAGCATGTAAAGTCCACATAGGAGCACCACTACCACCACTAAACCTGGACCATACATCTTGATGTGTCTCTATGAATACATAGAGACCCCCGATTTTATTAATAATACGGAGCATGTCTATGGTATATGCAATAAAATCATCATCATATTTACAGGGCCCTGAATGTTCTAATGCTTCCCAGGTTATCAAATATCTAATAGTATTATATCCCCACGATTTTATTCTCTCAAAATGATCCTCTGCTTCTTCAAGGGGAAATGGTCTTCCAACAAACAGTACTTGTTCTCCCTCAAAGAATATATTATCAGGATCGCTTCCGTCACCCGCATAGCTTGGTAAGTTCGGGGTACATGGAAATTTCAGTGCACCATCAACGTTGATACCCTTCAAAGTAATCTTTCTCCCTTTAATATCCACAAAGTTACCTCTCCCATCGGTTTCTAGTGGACAACAGTCCAAAATATTCGTACCGTTATTAGTGGCCTCCGGTATGGGTGCTGGCTTGAACGTTCTACTTGTTGGTTTAGACCACGAAAGCCCCAATCTAGACGATAAGCTACTTATACTAGCTTTCTCATACATAGAATCCCTAATGTCATTTCTCATCGTCACAAGAAGTAAACTATCAAAAATTATAGGATGTAGCCATAGAATCTCCTCGTTTAAAATGTGTAGAGATGGAATTTAGCTACTTTTTTATGCGGAAAATACTTTATCTTTATTTTTTATGCGAAATTTCATTCGATACTGATCTACATGTGAATTGAAAACAATACATCTATCAAATTATAACCAAAAAAATACGTGATTGGAATTCTACAAATCAACTATTACCAAGAGCTCGTTTTTTGATAGAAGCCTGACTACTTAATCTCCAAGAATCTTTATCCTTCAGGAATTTGTCAAATAGTGGAACAATCTTATCATTCTTCCTCTTCTCTGAGAGTTTTGCGGGGTCAGTTTTTTTGAAAAAAGCTGGAGCGAGTTCTAGCAACCATTTTGCATCTATCACCGTCACACAATGCATATACTCCTTCGAAGTCAATAATAGAGTGTGATAAATCACGTAATCGGGACTTTTACCGAACAAAGCAGAAGATGGGTGTAAATGAACTGGAGTTTGCTCAACTAGAGTTTTATATCCTTCTTGTGGATCTCTTTTTGATGAATGCTTGAAGAAACCAGCACAGAGAGTCTTTCTGACTTTGTCAAGGTTAGAACCGCATGAAATTATGGGGTGTCTATATTTTGACATGATGAGCACCAACTGTTTTCTGACTTCTTGAGCTCTTTTCATACTTCTATCCTGGATGTAATTTTCCATGCACCATTGCTTATTGCAGCCATTCAAGGTCCAAGATCGATAAACGTTTAATAGTGTTAAATGATCGCCATATTGATGGTGGAACCGATATTTCTTTTGATCTGCTTCTTTCTGTTTCTCCTTAGGTCTGAAGAACACCGTTTGAACTGAAAGCATTGCGACTATAGTCAATATCTCGTCTGAGCACCCAAAATCAACTGAAATGATCAAAGTCTTTGCCAAAGCAGGCTCCATAGGAAATTCCGCCATTTTTCTACCCAATTTTGTTAAGTAACCATCATCGTCTAAAGCTGATAATGTATATAGATCCTGCAAAGCATTCAACATAGTATTTGTAGGTGGGGGATCCATAAATTCGAAATTTAATAGATCATTTATACCCATTGCTTTCAACATCAAAATTGTATGAGATAAATTCTGTCTTTGAATTTCTGGAATTGTGTTTGGTAACATTTCAGTCTTGAATGCACTTTCAGTATATAATCTATAGCACTTCCCCGGTCCTGTCCTCCCAGCTCTACCACTTCTTTGGTTTGCTTGTGCTTGAGAAATTGGAGAGATGGTTAATGAGTCCATACCCAATTTGGAATCATATGCATTAATTTTAACAAAGCCAGGATCAACAACATAATATATACCATCAATGGTGATCGATGTTTCTGCAATATTTGTAGCAAGAATAACCTTTCTTGAACCTGGAGGAGTTGGCTCAAAAATCTTACTTTGCATTTCAGACGGCAATGCAGAATAAACAGGTAAAATTATAAGCTCTGGTACTGTATCTCCTAAAACCTTCATTCTTTCAAAAAGCACCTCACAACTAGTATCAATTTCTTCCTGCCCTGTCAAAAACACCAAGATGTCCCCTTCGGGTTCAGATATGTGTATTTGTATAACTGAGTCTAAAGCAGACGATAAATAATCCATTTCCGGCTCTCTAGTGTAAAGAATATCTACTGGGTATGTTCGTCCAGGAATCTTTATAATAGGACAACTATTAAAATAATTTGAAAACTTGTTTGCATCAAGTGTTGCAGATGTAACGATGATTTTCAAATTTGGATTATTGGCCACAGCTTTTTTCAATAACGTAAAAAGAACATCTGTTGCAATAGTTCTTTCATGTGCTTCATCCAACATGATAACAGAATATTTACTCATGAGAGGATCGTTTAGTGCTTCTCTTTGAAGCATACCATCTGTCATATATTTCATTCTTGTATTCCTGCTTGTTTTATCCTCAAATCTAATAGTATATCCTACATCTTCTCCCACTTTACATCCGTATTCTTCTGCAACTCTCTTTGCAACAGAAACAGCAGCAACTCTCCTAGGTTGAGTGCATCCAATAATCTTTTGCTCTCCTTCAACTTTGTCCAAGCCTTCTTCAGCCAAATATTGTACAATTTGAGTAGTTTTCCCTGAACCAGTTTCACCAACAATTACAAGAAATGGATTTTCTCTCACAGCATTTATTAAATTAGATCTCATAGGAAATATAGGCAAAGATTCTCTTTGCTCCTTCATTGAAAGCTTGGTCCGCTTTCCATATGATATGTTTTTATCCATCTGAGATTTTTTCCACTCCGATAAAAAATTCTGAGTCTTTTCATTAGTATTTACAATTTCAGTATATTGGGCATTATTTTCTCTATTCAAAGGATCGTGTGAATCTTTACTTTTTGCTTTTTCTTGCCTTGCCCGTTTCTCTTTCTCACGGTTCTCTTTCAACCGCTCTTCTTTAATATCTCTTGCTAGCTTTGAACCATTCATTGCGACTCTACTAAGTGAGCCTTCAGGGTTTTTGATAATTTTAACTGGGGCCAAGTCAACTGAATTTTGTGTCTGACCTTTTAAAAATGCAGGTTCCTCATGATTCAATTCTATATCAATTTCTAAATCATTGTCGTTGTTATCCTCATTAGCTGTATCATCTCGAAATGCAGCATTTGGATCCTCGTCTTGTAGTAATTCAGGATAGTCTTTGGCAGACATAGCTCCAGATGCAATTAATTGTCTTATTTCCCATCTTTCGGGCGATGTCAACCTTCTCTTGACACCTCTATTCGAGTGTTTACTTTGATCATCAGTCTTTCGTATCCTACCTTCTCTTTCTTCAGTTGCATTTTTATTAATTTCTTCATTTCTATCCAATCCTGTAGTCTGATCTATACCTCTCATTGATAAGCTAATTTTTTCTCTAGGGGTTCTTCTGCCAATTTGAAATGTTTGCGTTTCAATATTCAAAACTTTAACAAATATTTCTTGATTCAATTTTAAAACATCTGAAGGGTTTTGAATTCTAGTTCTCCCATCAAACGAAATTTGGGATACATGGCATAATCCAGACTGAAATGATCTTGGATTATTTAACCTTATAAATGCCCCATAAGTAGTTATATTACTTACATATCCTTTGTAGACGTTTCCCGCTTCTATCGGTTCTTCTTTAACGGTATAACGTTTTTCGTGCTTTATATTATTACTTTCCTGTTTGACTTCCACTTTCGTACTTTTCTCTTCTTCCTTTGAAATGTGTTTGTATTCATTTACAAAATCTTCTTCTGTCCATCGTACTGGTTTGTCAGGAATATTCAAACTTTTGAATACCTTTGAATCGGTCGCTTGTTTATCGCTGAGCATATCATCTTTTGGCTCTTCTTTGATAGGCAAATGGTATTCATATTCATCTATTAACAGAAACGCCTCATCTATGAATTTGGGTGGAAACTCTCCAGCTCCGTTGTTCTTTAACACGTCAATAAAGCCGTTTAATCTGGATTTCCTATCACTATTATTCCTTGTACCTGATTGTCCATACAAACTAGTTACAAATTTTGATAACATAAAACCTTTATCTGGAACTCCTAAATGTTTCGTTACCAATTCTGACAATCTATCATCAAGCAGTTTGCCTGTGTCACATACATTCAGGGACATTTATGAATGAAGCGTAGTTATTGATAGATACAATTTTTTTTGCAAGTTCTAATCATCTCTTCAAGCACTACTTATCATAGTGACACAAAAACTACTTCAATCGATAGAGGTGTCTACAACCTTTACGGTCAGTCAAAGTGAATCATAGCAATTCATAACGCTAATTAGTGTATATACGAATACAGGGAAATAAAGGTTGAGTACCTAAAGATATAAATGATGCTCTATAACGAAATTTAAAAGTTTAAATAATTTCAACATAAGCCTATTTGATAGTAGCAATTTTGGTAGCCTATTCAACTACTTTAATACCTTCCTTATCAACTACTTTAATATAACAGCCCTTGAAATCAATTGGCATTCTAGCCTCTAATTCTTTTAAACATTCCTTTAACAACTTCAATCCCTCTTCAAATTTCATATCTTTTCTATAATGTCTATCCAATAAGGATGTACAATAAAATGCAGCATATCCATGGGCTGCGTATGGTAATTCCACTTGCGTTCCCAAGTAGTCTATCCAATTCAAACTAGGTTGGTCAGTATTCACATCATAACCTCCAATCAACACATTGACTTGAAATGGTTTACGCGATCTGATAGATGAAGCCAATTGATTTCTAACAAACGATGCAGTGGCCTTAGGGCTCAATTCAACGTCATTCTCACGCATGGTATGTAATTGAATATTAGCTTGAATATATTCTGCAAACTGAACGGTGTCACCAGCTTCACCTGTGAACGCAACTAAATTATGAGTGTTCAATTTACGGGTCTTATCGTCTGTATCTTTCAATACTGAAATACCTCTGGTTGCAGCTTTCGATGTAGCGATGATTGTAGAGTCTTGCACTCTGATACCCAAAATAATATCCATGATTTAGTGATTACTGTATGCTTGAACAACTAGACGGAAAAAAATTTATATGGTAATTTTTCTTGTGCAAAATTATCGAACGATATTGGATTGTCTAGTACCTAAAGATTAAATTGGTACCAAAGTATGAACAGTTAATATTTAAATGAGCTTGGAGGTAATAACGTATATTATACCCTATAAACATCACAGCTATTTGCCATCCGAGTAATCGTTGCAAGAGCAGTGTGCGCATACCGATAAATTACGGCTTGAACTAGTATTACGGGATTATTTGTACATTTTACGGACATATATCGGATATCACTAGTCCTATTAGGTCAATTTGGCTACTTACTAATCTGGGAAAGCTTCTTGTCAATGATAGACGAAATTAACTTGCTCAAAGCACTGTTTTCGTTCTCGATCTGGTTGGCCAAATTGATCTCGATCTGCTTTTCGATCAACTTTCCCGTCAAATCCACTTCAATGTTAACGGTGGCTCCTTGATGTTTCAATGGCATTATAACCTTGGCCTGAGTGTAGCTGACCATCATGATGGAAAATTCACTCGTATCGTAGTTGACATCCGTCACCGTCAAAGACGTCCCATCAATCGCAATGAATCCTTTCTCCACAATGTAGCTCATGTACTCCTTGTCTCTCAACCGGAAGGTAAAAGTGATTGCATTGCCATCGGGCACTCTCTTGGTGATTTCAGCTACCGTATCTACATGTCCTTGTACAACATGCCCTCCCATCCGGACCTCGCTATTAACTGCTCTCTCCAAATTCACCTTGCTGTCAACCTTCAAGTCTCCAAGGTTGGATCTTCTTAAGGTCTCAGGTGCAATCCCGACTTTAAACTGCGTCTGTTCTTCATTGAACTCAGTCACAGTCAAACAAACTCCATTGGTGCAAATCGAGTCTCCTAAGTGAACATCAGTTAAGATCGACGCGCAATCTCCAATAGTCATAGAAACACCATTGCCTCCAGATGCTGAGGTATCTTGGTCCTTGTATTCAAGGACCGTTCCAACTTGTTCAACTAAACCGGTGAACATGATCTACAGTCGATGTTGGAGCTAAATACGTCATGATTTTGACACCTTAAGTACTTTGCATTCACCGATTACGCTACCGGTGTTTTGTAGTATACTATGACCCGCGTAAATTTAAGACCATTTATTTTTCACTTTTTCATCATCCTCCAATGAAGCGACTGAATGGTACAGTTGACTAGTCCGTTATTTCTAAAAAGGCTGTGTAAAGGAATCGACA